AATAACTGATCAAATCAATTATATTTATATTATATTTTTAATAATTTAATCAAAAATTTTTAAGTACTTAGAGACTTGGAGTCGGTCGGTCGGTATACATTACTATATACCGACTTTGTTTCTTTATTACTATTAGTTTTTAAGTGCAGGGACAGTCCGAGTGTTTTTGGGTAAGTTTTATGTATTTTGAAATTAATATTCTTTTAAATAATCTTAAAAAAAATACTTCCACATCAATCGATTGAATGACAATTGGTGTATTCAAAAAGAAAATTAATTTTTTTAAATATGAGTGTCAAAACTTAAATTTTATACTTGATCTACAATGACACTTAATTACCTTGGATAGATTTAATCTTTGAAATTACATTTTGTGTTGGGATAAAGAATTCTAATAAGAAATTTTGTACATAAGAAGGATTTTTTTTTTTTTTTTGAAAAAGTAGGATAGAAGGAATTTTAATGTTTTTTTAAACTAATTATTTTTCTAGATAATCTTGTTTGTACTAATTAATTTCTTTTCTAGCCGACCTTTCGTAGTTAAACCATACACTTCGGTCCTCCTAAAAAAATAAAAAGGTCATGTAGAAGAGGATTTTGTACATAGATAATCTTGTTTGTACTAATTAATTTCTTTTCTAGCCGACCTTTCGTAGTTAAACCATACACTTCGGTCCCCCTAAAAAAATAAAAAGGTGATGTAGAAGAGGATTTTGAAATTAATTTCTTCAAATAAAATTTCCCCCTTAAAATCTTTCAGCCAATTAAACCATTTTGGAATCCCATATATTGTTATCACTAATAGTGTGTTTATTAATTGATTTTATCATTTTATAGCTTTTTTTCTTTAAACATATAGTTATTAAATTGTTTGGAAACATCAACTTTTAGATTGATTTTAAACTTATATCAACTATTTTTTCAATTATTAGTTAACAACTACAATTATCAACTATTACTAACAATCAAAGTAAACAACACTTAAGCAACCGCAAATGAAGACTAACTGGATGAAGGTTGCGTTTGAGCCCATCTATATGTCAAGCAAAGGTTCGTCTTTGATCTATAACTTAATTAAAAATTTTCAATTAGTGAATACTAATTTGACAAAGGTTGCATTTAATATTACTTTCACACAACACATTTCTATGTAGAATAGTACTAAAAATATAAGTTTATTATACTCAAATTAACAAGGTTAAAACTCCTTTTTGATCCTTCTACTTTAACAAAAAAATTTATTTTTTGGATTATGATTGATGCACACCCGGATCCAACACCCGGGTGTGCACCCCCCACATAAAAAAAAAAACAATGGACCGGGTGATGGGCATTTTTTTTTTATATGATATGTGCACACCCAGGTGTTGGATCCGGGTGTGCATACATCATTTTCCTTATTTTTTAGTTCATCTACTTAAAAAAGTCCTTTTTTGGTCCTTAAAATTTAAAATCTAACCCTTTTTACTCTCCTTTTTATTTTTTTGCATAAATCTCATGTTAGATAACAAAAATTCTAAAATAAATGGACTAAAAAGGGACTTTTTTAAAGTAGAAGGGTCAAAAAGAAGCTTTGTTTTAGTCCTTTTTTAGTTCCTTTATTTTAGAATTTCCGTTATCTAAAATGCCACATATGAAAAAAAGTAACAAAGGGACTAAAAAAGAGTCAGATTTTAAACTTTATAGACCAAAAAATGGGTTTTTTAAGTTGAGGAATTGAGAAAGAGCTTTTTGTTAAAGCAGGGAGACCAGAGCTTTTTGTTAAAGCAGGGAGACTAAAATGAGAATTTAACCAATTAACAAAAATGCTATAGTTTATAATATGATTTTTTGTTATATAATTAATTTTTTATGTAAAAGTTTATTTATGATATTATATATATCTATTTGTTTAATAACACATTTTATTTTATTTAATACCACGAAGAATTGTAAATATATAATTTTATGTGGTATTATAATTATAGTATTGCAGTTAATTAATCTTAATTAATATTTTATATATTTTAATAATTAAACAAATATATAAAAAAAAATTTTAAAAATTAATTAACACTAACATAATTTTTATAACTTTACAACGCACTAAACCTAACAATTACAACACTACATAGTAATTTCAAATGCAGTATAAGGAGGAGATCATGGTAGTTAATGGATGAATAATAACTTTTCTAACAAATAAATCATAGCTTTGAAGACAAACCGGCGAAGTAAATTATTTACCCTATATGTGAAGTATGAACTGATTGTCCCAGTTCACTGTAATCTTAATTTCCGGAAAATTGACAACTCTTCCAGCGTCTTTGGAGCTCCAGTGGGTATATATTTATATATAATTATATTTAATTCTTGCTAAAGGACAAAAAAAAAAAAATTCTGCATACCAAAGAGAATAGAAGTTGTAACAGCTGTATGAGATTTAATTACTGGTATTTATAGCCATTGCATGTTAAGCTAATTAATAATGACAAAGACTGTTTTGGATTCCTTGGGCGTAGATCGAGTTGAAAAACAGGGGCAGAGCAAATTTTCTAAATTTAAAAATTAAGGGCAAATGAATTATGGATCAACATGCTGAAAGAGAGATACTAACAATTGATTATGTTTTGCTTAATTTAATGCGCATTTTTATTACGATTATTGTGATTAATATTCCTGGGATCTGAGGCAAGTACGTATTAGCCACATGCGTGCTCTTGAGAAAGTAGTGTATTATAGAAATGGGTTTCTTGAGAAAGCAGTATATTATAGAAATGGGTTTGAATAATGTATACTGTAAGAGTATAGCTTAAGGTATATTAATTATATTTTTAATATGTGTTTTAAAAGGTATAAATTAAGAAAAATTTAATGAAAAAAATGTAAAATTAATGTACTGTAAAACCATATAAAAATTAATACTCTATCTCTTTGAAAGTATAAGTCAGTGAATTCTTTTACACATATATTAATGTAGTACTCATAAATATATAATTATTTTTTCTAATATATAAATGATAATTAAATTTTTTTATGCATCATTTTTATTGAATAATTTTATTTGATTAAAAAAATTTAATTATTATTTATATATTATAAAAAAAAATCTAAAAATACACTTTAGAAAAAGGTCAAATGGTTTATATTTTTAACCGAGAGGGTAGAAAACAATGTGACATTTATGACTTCATTGACAACAAAATAGCAGTTTTTATTGGGGAGATTTGATTGGCCAGGGTCCGCCAATTAAGTCAAACTCATGCACTTTCGATGCAATGTAATTTTGATTAGGATACTAGATTTATAACCTTAAGGGTTAACTACAATAATAAGTAAGTATTATTTTATAAGTTAAGTTTAAAATTTGAATCTTGAATTTAACACTTAAAAAAATTAATTTATTTTTAAAATATCAAGTCAATGTGCAAAGTTTATTTTTAAAATTGACCGAAAGAAATTAATTTTAAGGTGTGTAAAAATTGACTCATCAACATCTGACTTTAGATGAAAAAAAAAAAAGGATATTAAGCTTATAGGTATCCACATTTATACATTTATTTTTCCATTTTTGAAGTGAGATTTCACACTCACATGTGAATCCGAATCGTTCCTTTTTCTTTTTTCTTTTTTTTTAAAGAAAAATGATCATTGATCTTCTATTAATTTATAGAAATAAAAAGGGTATAATACAATTTTACCCCATTCAAAAATACCCTAACAGTCTATGTTCTGAAAAAATAACCTAAATCAAACCCCTCTATTTTCTATGATATGATCCTTGAACTCCAACAAAAGCATTTTTCATGTTTCAATACTTTCATATTCTGCAAAGAAACAACTGCATTGAGATGGCTTTGTGCAATAAAGATACACCACAAAAGCCTTACAAATTTACCTCATTTGGAGGTACCCTAACAGTCTATATTCTGAACAAGTATCCTAAATCAAGCCCTCTATTTTGCCACAATATGGTCTTGAACTCCAACAAAAGCATTTTTCATGTTTTCATATCTCTATATTTTGCAAAGAATGAACTGCACTAAGATGGCCTTTTACAATGAAGATCCACCTTGAAAGTGCTTATAAACTTTACAAAACTCATATTCATTCTCCAACACATCCAAAGAAACATGAACCACTCCGATGCTCAACCCTCCACACAAAATCTCATAAATGATCCCAATCAACCCTAACCAAAAATGACCATCATCCCAACCTTCCTAAGTGACAATGGTGCCAAACCATCTCTTGCAATCCTCCAATAGTATCAGTGGTTTTGTTACAAACCATCATCCTCTCATTAACACACCAAAACCATAGCCCACTATCAAGTTGTGACACCATGCTGTAGTAGCAAATCAATTAACATCTAAGCACACCATTGCCTACCCAACAAACGAAAACCCCTAGTCGTAACCTAACCACAAACCTCTATAACTCACACCAGTCACTAAATCCATTGCCTTCACCCATTGTCAAGCACTAGTTACCCCTAGTACTTGTGCCCTTTGTTACTGAAAACAAAACCCCTATTCAATGTTGTAACCAAAAGTTTTTTTTAGGGGGGACCAAATAATTAAAAAAAAAAGAAGAAGATATGTGCATCTTTGTGTTAATTAAAAGGTCAATGTAAAGGAAAATTTTAATAAAAAAATTATTTTAAATTAAGATTTATTAGTCTTTATTTATATATAAACTAATATTAATTGATGGTATGGTGTTATATACATGACATCAATTGAAAGATAAAATAAACATATATTATAAATAGAAAAACACTAATAAATAAAAAAACAAAAGTTGAAGAGTATTAATGAATAAAAAAGGGATATTAATAAACAACTATTTTATAAAATGATGATATTATTGTTTATTTGTTAACATATTTTATTTTGTCTTTATTTTCCTCATTTTTCTCATAATCACTAAAACTAATCTTAACGAAAAGTTTAAAAAATAATTAAAATATATGAAATAAAAAGGGATTGAAATAATAAAAAAATATAACTTAAAGAACCAAAATTTTATTTTTTTAAAAATTTAGGGGGGCCTATGCCCCTTAGGCCCTCCTTTGTCTCTACTAATGCCCCCAGTGCCACTATCTACAATTGAAGTGGGCAAGCACTAGATACCATGAAAATCTATTGCCCTTTATCACAGAACACAACCTCAAAACCCCACTACCTATAGCCACTAGACACTTTGTTGATGTCTTCTTCACTAAAGTGAGCTTTTATTCATTAATGCTAAGTTGTTTCTCAAACCTCGTACCCTCTGCCAATAAAACTAAGATAGAAAAAGGATGAGAAATAAGATGAAACCCTTATATAATCAATATGAAGGGTTGAACTCTCACCTCATCTAGAACCTTTGTTGCCAAAGAGATTTTTTGAAAAGTTTTTTAATCCTAATAATTTTAATATAATTTTTTTTGAAAAGCAACATTAATTTTATTGAATATTAGAGTACAAGGGATACTCTGAACCCATTACAAGCGTTTTAGCTTTTAGCCGACATAGGGCTCACCCAATTGTATTAGTCAACCAAAAAGAAATGGAGCCTTTCTCTAAAAGTTACGCAAATTGTTTGCTTGTTGGCCATTTCTTAATTTTCCTTCTGCTAGTGTGATTGACATTCAAATAGCTTGTAGGATTTTGGATCCAATCTGATAAGGAGAAGAAACAGTCGCCCCTCTTGCACTTTATCCAACTGAAGGCCCTGAGTTGTACCAGCTCAAATATCCTTCCTCAGTCCGCCTCTTCTCCTTTGAATAATTTCTCATTTCTAGCCAACCATGTTGTCCATATCATTGCAAACCATATACATTCCCATCCCTCCTTCTCCCCCTCTATTTTCAGCATATTGGAGTGTTGTTCAAAAAATCTCCAGCAATCTCTGTTAGTAATTGTTCTAACTCCCCACCATTTGTAACATGCTGACCACAATTCATGTGCTAATTTGCATTGAATGAAAAGATGGCTGGAGTCCTTTTCCCCTGCACCACAAAATTCACATTTGCGCTCGTCAATGTCTTGTAAAATACCTCTTTTCAGCAGATTGACCTTAGTTGGGATTTTATCTTGTAGCATTTTCCAAGAGAACACTGAAATTTTACTAGGTATGAGTGGCTTCCATGCTTTTTGTAGAACCGAACTCTGCTGTCTGCTTTCTTGCTCTATTGTAAGTGCTTGGTATGTTGAATTTGTTGTCTAGCTTCCATCTTTATTGTAGATCCATATCCTTTTATCTGGTTTTCCTTTTACTATTGTTATCTCTTTTATCTCCTTTTGGAGCTCTAATTCTTGATGTTTTTCCCAGTTAAACAAGTTCCGTCTCCACTATAGACGCCACTTCCAAGAGTCATTATGCCAACCTCCCATTTGTGAGATCTTATCGTCCTTCTCTGCAGATAACAAGTCTAGGATATTTGTTAGCTAAACACCCATCCCCACACCACTTGTCCCACCAAAAACTAATGTTTACCCCTTCCCTTACTTTTAGTTCCAACCCATCCACTAGCCATCCCCTTTTTTCCTCATCAATTTCATTCAATCTGCTTCTTGTATAAAGTTATCAAACTCTCTCATCTCATTAGTAATGCCTCTGCTTCCCTTTTTCTCCTCTTCCTTTCTTACCGCATTCAAATCTCTCGCAATACACCAATTGCTCTCCCTTGTTAATATCAGGTGTTTTTAGCTCTGCCCACATAACTCTCTTCCCTGGTAAATGGCACATGGAGTACACATTTAAGATAGAAACCACAACCCCCTCAAGACCTCATACCCTTTCTATTCTTATAAAATTCTCACCCTCTATAGCTCTGGTCATTGTGAGAGATTTTGACTTTCATAAACAGAGTAGACCTCCAGACATTCCACATGCATCCTTTACTACCCATTCAAAGTTGTCTAAACCCCACACCATTTTACATGTTTTTCTATCCATCCCTATCATCTTTGCTTCTTGTATAGCTAAAAAATCCACTTTTTCTCTACTCATTAATTCTCTTAACTGTCTTTTCTTTCCAGCACCACCTAAACCCTTAATGTTAAAAGACAAGATATTCATGGTTTTGTGTTACTAACCTTCCATTTTTTCCCCAAGTCCTTTGAGCACTCCGTTTCCTTTGCCCTTCTGTCTCGCATCTCCATCTCCTCAAGATTGGTGATGATTGGCCCTTCGTTCCTAGCAACAACCCTAATTTTTTTGCAAAATCCCATAAATCTTTTACAATTCTCCGATTGGGATGTTCCTCCAACAATCTATTGCAATTCTGTATACCACTATCTCCCACATAACCCCTTGCAATTGAGTTACTTATTCCTGCTAAAAACCTCAAAATTCCTTCTCTCTATGCTTCCTTCGCTCTTTCTCTGGCTCTATTCTTCTTTCTCTGGCTCTGTTCTTCTTTCTCTGATTCATTAATCATTGGAGAGTTGCTCGATACACAGATTTGCACAATTTTGCTCTCTTTTTACTCCTTTTTTGCTGGCTTTGTTTCTTGCTACTATCCACCCTTTTTTGCTTCCTTCTTTGCTTTCTAGATCTGCCCAGAACTTTTTGTTGTTTCTCGGCAGATCCCCTATTTTGCTTTCCTTTCTTTCTATTGCAGATTCTGCATTTCAAATTTATGTTCAATCCTAGACTCATTTTTTGTTCTTTTGTTGTAGTCTTTCGGTTCACCAATCCAGTTGTCTTTCACTTCTCCCCTTTTACCTTTATGGGCTTGGCGTCGGGGCTCTAAAATGCGCTTATCCTGCAAGCCTAAGTCATTACCAGCCGAACTTTCTATAGGGTCTGTGGTCATCTCTTTTTGTGGTCTATTTTCATATAACCTAACCTTTATTCTGCCTCCCAAATCACTAGCTTCTAGAGACATATCAAAACTATTAACTACTACCTCTACTGATTCTTCTTCTCCCAACCGACTATAGGGAAAGTTGTCCACTAGTTTGTATCCTTTCACAGCACATCCTTCTTCTTCAAATTCAAATTCTACCTCGTTTTGTGGGATGGCAATCGATCGTTTATCAATTTGACTTAATTCCCTATTTTCTCCTTCTTCTCCTTCTTCACCGGCGGGCGGTTCCAAGTTAGCATCCCAGTCATCTTCTTCACGTTGGATCTCCAATTCATTGCAATCCGACCATAATTCTTCATTATCTGAATCAATGTTGAAATTTGGCATGAAATCATATCTCATTGAGAACAAACTATTTGTCATGTTCGCTAAATATTTATGAAGCATTGGTCTAGCTAGTCCGTAGTCCCCTATACTAACTCTTTTAGTTCCTCCTTTATCATCACAGTCTATTAATACCAGCTCCCCCCCTAGCTCGGAGTCGACATGAGAAATAACCTTCCATGTAAAGCTTTTCTTGTAGATTCGAGGTAATTTCTATAAAGCGGGCTATTCCAACATAACATCCACGTAGCCACTCATAGTCTTTTTCCTTGACATTGTACTCAATACCTGACCACTCCACATCTTTGTTCTTCCTTCTCCATGTCTGTCATTGTTGAGGTTGCTTGTGTACCTTTATTCTTCTATCATCTTTATAAACGCAAGTTGGCCTTTTCTCCATTGGATAGTCCTCTGATCTCCAAGAATTCTTTTCATGCTGTCTTCTGACTGCATCAGCATAAGTTTTCCCATGTACAACTGAGTTTGTGTTTGTAATTCTCCTAATCTCCCTAGACTCAGTTTCCTCCACTGGATATTTGGCTAAATTTACCCAAATTTTGTGACTTTCGATCTGAATTTGATCTAGTTGGTTCTCTATGGCCCTTGCATTCTCTTCCTCTAGGAACCTAATGAACCTGAATCTCCTACCATTTTTGCTTCTTCTCTGAGGGCTATAGATAGCATACACCCTACTGAATTTCCCAAAAGTCCACCATATGTCTAAGTAGCTCCAATTGTCTGGGAAATTGGTAAAGAAGAAAACCGTAGCCTGCTTGTATAACCCCTTATCATGTCCCCAATCCATATTCATTTGCTTTTGTCTACTCTGTCCTCCATGCTTTGTGCCCTTCGTCCCCCATTGTCGCTTACTATCTCTTGGTCGTTCATACTCTTTGTTCAGTGCTTTCCGTTTAACCCATGGTTGCTATATGGTGCCTTCATCCCTGCTTCTCTCTCTACCTATTTCTCTCATTCTCACTCTCAATTAAAATGTAACGAAATTAATCTCTAATAATTTTAATATAATGATTTTGAATATTTGGGTTATTAATTTAGGGTTTCAAATGGTTAATGACTTAATTTGCTCTAACAGTCACTATTAGAAAATATAGCAAAACCAACAAACTTATTGTTGACAGCCAATTTTCTGTCAATTATAAAGATAGAATCAACAAAAAAAGTTGTCAATTATACTATGTCGATTATGTTTCATTTTTTAGTTATTATCAACCATCAATATAATCAACAAAAAAGTTGTCGATTATATCTTTATAATAGACAAAAAATTGACTATCGATTAAATATAATTGATAGCTTTTGGTTGTCAATTATAGTTAAATATTGACTATAATTAACATAATTGGTTGTTGATTATATTGTTAAATGACATTGTTTGTGGTTAATAGTCCCAATGAACAGGTATAGTTGATAGCCTTGGTTGTTGATTATACTTGTTCATTAACCCCTTTCCATTTTCCTTTCTTCCCTATTTCTTCTTTTCCTTTCCCAATTGATCTGGTGTCTTTTCTAGCGAGTTGCATGCCCTGTTAGTTGTCACCATTCGTGGTTACTTGAGTAGCTCATTTGCGTGCCCTCAAGTTTCTGAATCTCTATTTCGATGATGATAGAATTGCTCCTCTCTCCCCTTATTTCTAGTTTTTTTTTTTTTTTTTTTGGGTTTCCTTGGATTTATACTTGCCATTCCTATTTCTTCTTGTATTTACATTGGCTGTTGATTATAGTGGTTTAATCAATAGAAAATATTTTTGTTAATTATATTTATTCTCATTTTTTTAGTAGTAATAGTTGTCGATTATCTTTCTCAGTTATAAGTACAATCGACAGAATTTTCTATTAGTTATACTATGTTCTCTAGTAGTGAGTTAGGGAGCTTAATTGAAATTCATATTATTGTTGTTGTTTTTGTTGTTATTTGAGAGGGAAGAGGATGGCTACTAAAACCCTTGAATGTTAAAACAGCCATATAAGATAAAAACTATTATAATTTGTTTAGTTCAAGGAGAGGGGAGGAGAGAAATTTTTTTATTTCAATAACAAAATGGAGTGGAAGGGAGGGGAGGGGGAGGGAAATGAAAGAGACATAATTGTTTCTTTCCCCTCATCTCTCTTTTGTTTTTTTCAAACTAAAAAAAGAGTAAAAGTCATTATGAAAGTATATTTTATTTTTACATATCAAATAAAAGAAATTATTTGAACTATATTAAATTGTCAAAGCAATGAGTTTGTAAGTACAAAAAACCTAATATCTTTTTTCTCCAACTAATTATAAGTAATAAGTAATCTAATTCCAAAGCTTCCTTCTCTCCCACCTACCTCCTTCGAGTTGTGAAGCATCAAGCTGAGCAAATTTTAGATGTATAAAGCAATAGTTATTAGAGTAATAATTCACATGTTAGGAGGATTTAAGAGAAGTGTAAAGAATTTTACATTGAAGAATATAAAGCGAAAGAGTTGAATATATATATATATATATATATGGAGGCTGATGAACTTGATACGCCTTTCTTTTGAGTTCAAGATGGCTCTTTTTATATGTGTTCATACTTTTTCATGCATGCGCTAATGAGCCAACAGTGTGATAGGTGATCAAATTTAAGTTTGGTTGAGATTGTGAGTATGGTGAAGTCCGTAAAGATTAACTAACTACTCTACAGAAGTCCCATGGAAGAGTTAACATTGATGTAAGGGTAACAAAGAATTGGCCAGAGGATTAATCTCATGTTCAAAGATTACGCCTTTACTTACACTCATCAAGGAGCAAACCAAAGACTCATAAGTGAATAGAGGAGAGTGTTACAATAAAAGTTCATATGTGGTTTGGACTTTAAAAAATGTAAAAAAGGTACATTAGTTCATGTACTGTTCGAGCTACTTGAAATCTACCCCTTAACTTTCTTTGAAATTTTTTAACCTCCAAACCTTAATAGTAAAATAAAACAACCCACATACTTTTCAATTAAAATAAATAAGTCCAAAGTTAACAAATGATGTCATGCCATGTCACATTTTTGTGAAATCTATTTTAAGTCCATTATATTATTAAATAAATTAATTAATGTACTTTTTGAGCTACTTGAAATTCACCTTTTTACTTTTTTTTTTTTTGAAAAATTTCGACCCATGTAATTTTATGTTGAAATAAATCAATCCATGTACTTTCCTATTAAAATAAATCAACCCAAATTGAATAGATGACATCATGCCATGCCACATTTGTGTGAAATCCATTTCAGGCCCATTATGTCTTGATAATTTAGCACGTATGGGTCTCATTTTTTGTGTGATGGATTATTTTACATATGGTAGTGACACGACAAAACAAATATATTCTTTTAATCTCTTTTTTCAATGATAAAAGTACCCTTTTATTCTCATTCATGATCATTTTTTTGGGACCTAGGGTTTGATTTAGTCATCCATGTTGTTGTTTTCGCAAACCCTAAATCTCTTCCTTTACATCCCGAGAACTAGGTGCCACTGTATCTAGTGAGAGTTCCACTAAGGCTCTAGATTATGCTATTTTAGCTACCAAAACCTTCAAGAGGTGCCAACTCGAAGCCTAACCCAACTTAAATCTCGTCATGAGATTGAACATACTCGTTGTTATTTACTATAGCCTGAAGAGGTTTGATGAGGCTGTGCCAATTTTGAAATGAGTAATTCAAGTATCTAACATCACTCAAAACCAATGTTTAGTTAAAATGATTGTGAATGAGAAGAAGAAGATGCCATTAGAAAAGTATAGCCAAACTTGAAACCCTAAATCCCAAATTTGCAATTCAAAAACAAAGGAAAGAAAGGTATTTTTGTCATTACATAAAGAGATTGAAAGAATGGATTTTTATTGCTATCAACATATGTCGAATTGGGGTTAAAAATAATCCATCTCACAAAAAATTAGACCCATGCATGCCAAATCATCAAGACATAATGGGTTTGAAATGGATTTCATAAAAGTTTAAGCTGATTTGTTTCAATTAAAAGGTATGAAGGTTAAAATTTTCCAAAAAAAAAGTAGAGGGGTGGATTTCAAGTAACTTGAAAAGTATGTGGGTTGATTTATTTCATGATATAATGGACTTGAAATGGATTTTACAGAAATGTGATGTGGCATGACGTCATTTGTTAACTTTGAGCTTATTTATTTCAATCGAAAAATATGCGAGTTGATTTATTTCAATATTAAAATTTGGGGGTTAAAAAATTTCAAAAAAAAATTGAGCAGTGAATTTCAAGTAGTTCAAAAGGTACATGAACTAATATACACTTTTCGCCATTAATATATATACAGAGAGAGAGAGGAGGGATCCATTCACACACGTCATACACATTACACTTACGCAAATTCTCAATCATTTATCTATTTACTTTCAATGGTTGAGATTTATCACAATTTTTTAGGTGAAAAAGATAATTATATTTAATAAATGTGAATAAATTTCAACCATTAAAAGTGGAAAGATGAATGGTTGAGATTTTGTGTAAGTGTACTATGTAAAAGTTATATATAAGTGAGTTCTTACTATGTATATATTAGTGTTTATCAACCAAAACTTTAAAAATTACAAAGAAAAATACCACAAAACTACACCAATTCAATAAAACAACATTAGAAAATATCAAAACAATCTCATCTCTGCTTTAAAAATAAGCTACTTATTTTTTTTCAAATAGGAATTTATTGAAATGATGTAGTTTTAGGGTATTTTTCCTTCTAATTTTTTAAAGATTTAGCAGACAACACTTTTGACAGATATATGAGAAAAGTGCCCATTTGCTTACCTCATAAAAATTAGTAGGAAAATCACATTAAAACTCATCATTTAAATAAATTTTGATTTAAAAAATTGAAATATCTTTTCTTTAAAAACATGAATTAGATTGTTTTTTTATCTTTTCTTGTGGTGTATTATTGAAGGAAAATGATTGGTACACCCTCGGTTCAACACATTTTTTGATACACTTTGAATTTAGTCATTAAAAATATAACATAAATACAGTCAATTTCCAATTCAACCGGTTCTTGTATTTTGTATGTATGATTATGTTATTAAACTTGTCTGTCTTTAATTTTAGACTAAAAAATAGTGATTTTTTAATGAGTATGTCACACAATGTGTTGAATCGGAGTGTGTACCAATCACTATCCATTATTGTAGCAACGTCCTAATCTTTCATTTAGACAAGAAAATAATAGATATTATCCAAACTTTTCATTTAGATGATAAATGGTCCCTAATCTTTTCAAAATCACCAATCCTAATCCAATTAGTTATTTTCATTAAGTTGCTAACAAAAATCTTAATTCAAATTTTATGGACCCATCCAAATCCCATAAAATTTCAAAGCCTAACCTATATACCATTATATAGTTATTAAAAATAATTCTTGAAAGAAGTATTATGTTAAATTAGAGGTATTCGTACTCTCATGCATGTACTCCAACACATATACTCACGCATATGATTCTGAACTTCAAATTAAAAATATAAAATAAAAATATCCAAGTCTTTTCTTTGACTCAACTATTTAAACAAGGAGATTCAGTTAGGATTTCATATCCAAGTCAAGCATGCCTCAGGTTCTAACTTCCTCCAATCATATCCATTAACACTTTAATTGATTAATATTAGAAGGCATTAAATTTGAAATTTGATAAGCAATGGGGGATTCGTTTGGAGGCATAAATTAAATGTGTGGGTATGTAAATTAAGGGAAATGATTTTAGGACAACCTTTTTATACCACATTTTGGTATAACCTAACATATTATTTAAATGATTGGTCTTTTTTATTCATGTGGAACTTATAGAATTGAATATATCTATTTATTTAATAACGTGTGGAAGTTGTATCAAATGACAATATAAAAAAATTGTCCCTGTAGCACCGCCCGTAGATTAATCTCTTTTTGAATTTGGAAGAGGCAATTTAGGTTATAGACTTCTTATAAGGATGATTGAGCAAATACTGACAGAGATTGTGCCTCTAGGGAGCCTCCAAAGTGAATTACATTGTCAAAGGATCCAAGTTATGATCATTACAATATCGTCGGAGTTTGATTCACGTGTAATGTTCTCTTATAAATCAAATCTCACTACATCGAGGAGTTTTATTGACCTTTAGTGGGAAACAAGAAAGAAATTATAAAAGAAAAGAAAAAGGAAATTCATGTGATGCCACAAAGGATCCAACTGGCGGAAAATAAAACCAGATTTAAATCTCAATTCCTTGTCGATGCACATATGTCATTTTCCTAGTCAAATCATAATTCTTTTAATAGTGCACACCAAGTATGTGATAAAATGTAAGTAAAATTTTATTAGTTTTATAAGGTAGTATTCTATTGTTTGGGTTGTATATATTAAAAATTAAAAATAATTATTTCAAATTAAGGAGCTTTGTAATATAGCTTACAACATCCCTTATACTCTAAAAAATTATTGTTAGAACATAGAATATGGGAAATTGTTGCTGACAATGAAAAAAGCACTCCAGCGGCCGGTCCCATCAGCTGAAGCAGCATTCGCATGCCTTTACTTGTTAAAATTTCATTTTTAATTTGCATGATTTAATTTTTCATAATCTGAGTAGCATGTGAGTACCATGATTGAGATAAACATTTTAATGCAAGAATTAAGTATCAAAATATGCAATTAATAAAACTATCGATAATTGTTCATTTTTCTTAATTTTTTTTTTAGGTCAATGATAGTTGTTAAAATTAAGTGGTTTTTTTTTTCCCCCTTCCCGGCTGGATTTTTAAATTTAATTAGTTGCTTCTCCAACTGCTTACGTGGTAATCACATGCCCTCAGTATATATAATCCCGAATTTGAACTGCAAAGAAGTCTTCTCTTAGGGGAATTTTTAGTAATTTTTTAGCAGATGTGTGATAATTTTAAAATAGCAATAGTACAATATGTATAGATATAATGGATCCTTCTGACTTCTCCTCTTCATTTACTATATTTTCCCTATATGTCTCTAACTAGGTATCAATTTTTCTTTTTTTTTAATGAAAAAAATACAAGTTGACTTAAATTTTATCAATCATTTAATTAAAACATTCTATGTGACATTGAAGTTGAAAATAAAGTTTCATTTCATAATTTTCTATACAAATTAATGGTAAAAACATGTAATAAATACACCCTTAACATGTTCCTTTAGCGTAGAGGTTAAAGAACCCCTTCTTAATTTTTTTTCTTATGGTAAACCCTTCTTAATTAATTGAAACTAAAATTATATAATTAGATTACTGATTATGACACTACTTGATTCAATTAACTATACAACACACTCATTAAAAATTCATTATTTTCTAGTTTGAAATTAAAGACAAACAAATTTAAAAATGCAATTATATATACCACATGTAGGAATCAGCTAAATATATTGGACTTATATTATATTTTAGTGACTGAATCAAGTAAGTGTTGAAAGGTGTGTTGAATTGAAGGGTCTATTAATCATTTTCTATATATATAATTAATGTCATCTTCTCAAAGTTAAACCACAACAATTTGCATGTTCAATTGTTTTTCTTAACCCTATGTTCGGGTTGAGGGAAAGGGAGGGGAGGGAAAATTTTCCATTCCATTCTCGTCCCCTTCAATTTTTTTTATAACCAAATAAAGAATTTTTTTTCTTCTTCCTTCCCCTCCCCTCTATCACCCTCAATCCAAACATACAATAAGCGTGGGTAATGGTTCGATTCAGTTAGAAATGAAACCAAGATGTTGGTTTTGTCCAATTAATTTTTCCCAAATGCCCCACCAAAATTGCTCTTGATTTTTTATTTGACTACCAAATTTGTAGGTTTGATGCTTATCAGTTTTTTCGATTTGATTTTGGTTGTTGAGTTTTGTGCCCAACTCTTGTTTACCCTCTAAATCGCTTTAATTCAATGGTCGTGAACCAAGATTAGTTTGCAACGCCACCTGTTGTAGTAGGTCCTTGAAATATAAGCCTATGGTGATCCATAACTAGGGTTGCTTTCTCTCATCTCGTCTTTTCTGGCATCAATGGGTTCGTTCCTCGATGACAATTTCCGATTCTAATTTTTCAATTTGTTTTGATTTGCCATAATTATGGGTATTTTAGTGAGCATGATGGATGGTAGCAAAAGAAAGGGTGATGTGATGAGGAATAATGAGGCACGGTGGTGTCAAGGTGTGGAATGGAGGGTTATTGTGTGGCTCAAAGTTGGTATTAAAGGTGGGAAAGCAATTCCAAGGAGAGAAGAGGCAATGGAAAGGGTGCATTTGGAAACTAGATTGGTAGTTGAGAATGCTTCTTATGGTGCTATGGTGACATTTATGGAGGCGTGAAAATTATTAAAGGAAGGAGATGGAAAGAAGTATTGTTGAAAGGCAGCCCCCTCATCTTCATTAGGGTTTGTAGTTTGATCCCCTTCTTATTTTCAATGTCTTAGCAATTTGGTCCCTAGATTTAAATTGTTTCAATTTCAGTTTGTCTCTTTTTCTAAGTTGGTCAAGGGTTATCTAGTTGTCCTTGAGCTCTGCCAACCAGAGTTGATAGACTCCATAAGTTGCGAAAGTAAGATATATAATAATTCTATTGCATTTGGGTCCTCCAATTTTTGCCTCCAATAGGAGTTTTCTTGGGCTAGTTAGGCTATGGTCTAGTTGTGGCATCCTAATGCCAATGCTCGAATGTCTAGGGCACATGAGAGCTTACCATAGTTATTTTTGAGGATTTGACTTGCTTACCAATGTGGTATTTCGCTTGTGGGGAGACGATAATATTGATTGGTTGTTCATTATTTCATAGGGACTCGATGATCCCTTGTATTATAACTTTGTGTCTGGTTTCAATTGTAGGCTTTACAAGTCTTTTCACAATTTTTATTGAATGAAATGCCATTTTCTATAAAAAAAAAATTCTCCCTAACTTAATTAACAATTTAGGAATAATTTCTTTTTTATAAATTTATAGTTCAAGATGCAAAATTCAAAAAAAAGGAAAATAATCACTTAAGACTTGGAAAATAATTGAGAGACAATATTTTTGTATAATTTTTTCATACAATTTTACATATTATTTAATAATTGTTCCTTTTCACTCTAATGGGATCGGTAATATTATATATATATATACTCATTTAATAATTTATAAAAGTTATCCATATGTTATTAAACTTATAACAGCCATTTATATATTTTCAAAAAAAAATTAAAATTAAAGATTTTATAACATTTTGTAGTTTTAAAATATAGAGTAGTATCTTTTTGCCTATTAAAAAAAAATACTAGTTCTGACAAAAAAAAATATTAGTATATCTCTTTATTGTCAAAAGCAAATTTATAATGAGGAGGCTACTTAATGCCATGTGAACATATCATTTTATTAGTGTATTTTATTAAGTTAGGATCCGCTTAATTAAGATTCTGGGGTTGGACATTTTTTATTTGGTGGGTTTTCATTGACTGCTGATTTTGAATTTTTATAAAATAGGATGAGATATTATAGTTCAAAATACAAATACGTATGTACATGTGAAGCTCAATTATCATGATCATTAATATATATAAGTTATAAAACATCTCATTAGAGGTATATGTAATGTGGAAACGATTAGAGTAGTTAGGGTCAAAGTTAATACACCAAGGAGGAGGCTTTTTAGAATTTATTGTATATAAATATAGTTACGTTTCTTCTACAGGCTAAGCTTTATGATTTTTAATCAGTAGGACTCGTTATTTGAGTAGCAGTGATGAAGAGAACAGCAGACTCTTAATTAAAGTGTTCTTATACAGAACTCGTGGTGGATCATCAGGTACACTACTTATTTTTAGTATGAGAAATGATTTGAACACCCTTACATTTAATACACAGGTTGAGATTTAGCTGAATCAATTATTAAAATATAATATAAGTGTACTTAGTTTAGTCAAGAATTTTTTCATATTATCAATAATTTAAATAAATTAGTAGTAATTTTTTTTTCTGTTGAAAGTAAGAGCTTCTGAATTTGAATCACATGGTGTGCGGGTGAGGTGAAATAAGGAATGTGAGATGATTATCTCTCACTATGCAACCAAGATATATATATATATATATAAAGAATTCTCCCATATTCAATGTATGACTATTTTTTTTTTTTTTAAGTTTTACTATCTTTAAATTCAAATTGAAAAATAATAATTTTTTTATGAGTATATTGTAAAATATATTAAATCAAATGATATATATCACTGTACTTTTAATATTCTAAATTTCACTGTATGGTGGTATTTAAAAAAACAATACATAACAAAAAGGTCGAACGTGATGATTGAGACATGTAAAATTTAAGATAACATGCATGGATCACACAGCAAACGAATCTTGGATTAACAAATGGACTTGTACGTGAATCTTGAAAATTTATTTTGACATACAAAAATTAAAAATTAAATCTTAAACCTACGACGAAAAATACAAATAACTTTATTGATAAATCACACAGCTGATGGTATGAATCGTGATAAAATATAAGCACGCATGAATGATCCCGTACGTCTATCCTTTAAACGCTGCCTGTCCGCTACCCAATCCCCTCACGTCAAAAGAAATAAATTTCTTAGTTACAAAACATATCTTACACCTAACATGCATAAAAAATAGATAAAAAAATCCAGATACCTTTCCCACATTTCAATTTATTGCAAAACCTCATGTATCTTGCCATCTTGCATGGACAATATATAAAATGCATGCTATGCGGCATCTTGAAGCAGCCAAGCAAACCAACGATGTAGAATAAGATTCACTTTTTTCTGTGCTGAAAAAAGAAAAGGAAAAAAAAAAAACCGTTGTAGAATACACTACAATTGTAATTGCTAACGTAAAGCACTTAAAAAATAAAGATTTTTATTGTTTTTTCACATATATGATAATATAATGATGGACCATGCGCCTGTCATTGCTAATTTTGGATTTATTAAATCAGTTTGGTATGTGATAAAACAGGCCACAGCCACTGGTTACTAACTGAAACAGTTTGGGGTTTGAACTTCATATGTATACTTGTAAAATACATGTTAGCAAACTATTTGTGAGAGAGTTTATATATACGAGATTTTTAGAGGCTATTGTTAACTTTCTCTACCCTATTTTAAGGTTTTTAACGTTAAATTGGTGTGTTGATTCTCCATCTTTAATTACTTTTTTATAACGACATTAATACATATATCGTCCAGTTTAACACACTTTATAATATATTTATTAAAAAAATTATTATTTTTAAATTTGAATTAAAGAAGATGAAAAATTTTAAAGTTATAGATTTTAATGACTAAACTAGTGGATGTTAGAGGGTGCATTGAATTATAGAGTATATCAATCATTTCCTTTTCATAAACTTGTTGCAAGGAATTGTATGTTGATTAATAATTCCCAACAATTTTATATGAGTTCAAAATTCAATGTATGATTAATTTTCTAAAAAAACCTAATGGTAGGTTTGATTTGAGGGGAGGGGACAGTGAGGGAATGGGATAGGAGGGGAGAGAAAATTTTTCTGGCAAATTATAATGTAATATTTAAAAACATTATAATTCGATTGGTCAAACAATTCCCTACGCCTCTCCATTTCCCTCAAATCAATTATACTATAAGATTAAACAGACTAATAATATAATCTAATTTAGAATCTTTTTTTTACTAATCTGTGGTAATTGTCATTAGATAGATTCAAGGTGTTATTTTAATTTCTCTTATGTCAGGGCTGTCAACAAAATAAAAACAAAAACAAAAAACAAAAATTTCCGTCATGTCAGGAGACCCCTTCGATCAGCCTCCTCACAGCATATTTTAATTTCTCTCATGTCAGGGCTGTTCAAAAAAAACCAAAAAATTGTCACACAAGCAAGGATGAAGCTAGCGATTTATTTTTTATTCCTTAAACAAAAAATGAAATATGGGGCGAGTCGTCATGGATGATTTATATAATGTGTGCAAAAATTCAAGAATTACATTCATAACTAATTTATTAGGGAAAGATTAGACAAAATTATATAATATGAAGGGGTATTCCAAGGTGCCGCAGGATTCAACCAACTTGGCATAAATTCGAATTGATTCTACGGATAAAAATTAGTTCATTATCTTATAATGGTGAATTAGTTGAAAAGCACACGTATACAAAAATTATTAGTATCTTAGAAAATTTAAATCACCAAAAAATGTTGATAGGAGCAACCATCCATATCGATATATGGCAGTTGTAATGTAGCGATCTCTTGAATAGTGGTGCCTTGAATGGTTAAGGGAAGGGACACCTGCAGATGGAAACGAAAAGACACGCAAGGATTCGCATTGTTTATGTGAAATGGCGCAGCTGCGCAGCGTGATTAGAGCGCTCTTTCTTTTCTTTTCTTTTTTTTTTTTTTTTTTAAGATTAGAGTATCTTTAGATTAATTTTTACGTATCTCGAGATTAACCTCTTTTCAGACTATCTTAAGGACATACCCTTTACATCAGCATGATGAATTTAAAAAACTTATTTGTAGAAACATAGTACTCTAATTTAATTAATCTTTTTATATATATATTTAACATAGGATATTCATGGACTAGTTTGCTCACCTTAAGACTAGTTCATTCTAGGCCGATCTTAAAGGTGCATCTCCTATATTGGTTTGGTGCATTTACTTAAGTGCTAACTTTAAGACTTAAACCTCAAACTTAATCTTAAAAAACAACACTTATTTATCAGTAAATCCAATCACTTGAGTTATAATTTCATTAATTTTCTATAATCAATTACTATATGGAATCAACGATGAAATATATATATATACACACACATCAAACCACATGAGTGTACTAAACCTTTAAAATTAACAATAGGTTCAGAATGAAAAAAATGGAGAGGAGAGGAGGGAAAAAAAGTTCTTTATTTTATTTTTTAATGCAATTTCCCTTCCTTCCATTCTCCTCAATTCAAACATATCATAACGTTGCCAGCTAGCTTTAATGGATCAAAATTATGTCTATAGATGATTCTATTTGATGGTCGGATTCATAGATATAATTAAGTAGAACACATACCAACAAATTGCACGCTATGTGGCAACTTGAAGCCGTTAAGCAAAAGTATAACGTAATTTCTGATGTAAAGCACTTGAAAAATAATGATTTCCCTTAGTTGTTAGTCAGAATTCGTGAACTTCTATTTCGAATTAGATTTGAATTTTTACGCCCACACAGTACCCCCAAAAAAAATCAACTTTTTACTGTTTATATGTGTTTATATAGTTGTAATTAAGAGTGTTTTATTTCTAAATTAATTTGTACCAAAACTTTTAAAGAACTCAGGTACAATAAATCTTAGGTCATTCTCAAAGATATATCATCATCAAATTTTACACCGTGTTTTTTTTTTTTTGGTAAAAATCAAATTTTACACCGCTTAAAAAGCCTTTGGGCATGCAAATGAGGCAAAGACTAAGGCCCCATAATTTTGGGTCATGGGTTCTGACTCTAGATGAAAATTTTCAGATTTTTTCATATTTCTATACCACATTTAATGATATTTGTGTGGTGTTCAATTTGTATGTTATGCTTGCACTCAAATCTCTATTAAAATTAAATAAAAAAAAAAAAGTCTCTATGTGCAATAAGATTAACCTTCCCAAAAGATAAGGAGTCTCCAATCAAAGTTTTAAATGGGTTTTGGCGATGATTCCCGAAGCTTGTCTCTTAATGTCATTTCCTTTCAGTTTTTATGAATTTAATGTTATTTTTTTTAGTGCCAATTACCGAAGTCCATATACTTTTATTTAATGATTACTTAAATAATCTCTCTTCCAAACTAATTGTCCTTTTTTATTTTAAATTTATTT